AAATGAAATAACATAATGAAATTAACTACTTTACTCATTTTATTTACTAAAATAGATAAATTAGGTTCGGACAAATGAGCTTCGGACAATCGGAGTGCCCCCATTTTTTAAAATTTATTTATTATACTTAGAGACGGAGATGTGTAGGAAAAAATGAGAGGGAAATAGAGTAAATGCCATTCCCAGAATCTTTTTTACAATCCCACTGATTTATAGATAAATTTTTAAAATGTTGAAGGGTCATTTGTAACATCTGTACTTTCTAGTATTATTCCTAACGCAAGAGAAACCTGGTCATGACCTATGTTACCCTACATTTCAACGAACAAGTCATAGAAATCAGATCAAGCACCCTTTTAAATCTAGTGACTAGGGTACACTTTGTAAATTATTGAGAAAAAATACTTACATCACACTTCGATATAAAATCAAAACAAATAGTTTCAAAAATACAGAGTTTGAAAACACAGTTACATTCATGGTTTTGAAGACAAAGTTTTGGAATGGAATTGAGCGGGGATAAGCTAGCTTGTGACATCTTCAAGACAAAATACATGAAAATCATTGTAGATTGTACCTAAATCATCCATTCCGCCATGTAATAGAATAAATGGAATGTCCTGTTCAGAATCTGGACTGTTAGAATCTTCTGACTGAGCACCATTTTGAGCCACCGCCTCACCATTGGAGCACTGTGGTGTAAAGTGTTGTGGTAACCAAATGAGAGACATTGCAAAATCCAGTCTTGGTTTAGGTCGAGGCGAATCTGACTCAAACACCACTTCTTCCCAACTAAGGGCATCTTTAAAAAAAAAGAAAAGAAAAAAGGCAATTAAAAAAAAATACAACTTAAAAAACATTAGTGTTTCTAAAATTTTACAAAAAATTAATTGAGAAAACAAATAAAATTATTTGTTTGCTCTTACCACAGTCAAGCTTCCACAGGTCATCAAGACTACCATGTGGACCCAATCCACCAAAAATGTACACGAAATTGCCGAGGGCAACCGCCCCATGGCCGGCTCGGGGACTGGGCGCCGGTCTGCCGTTGTCATCCACGACCGTCCACTGACCATTCTCCAAGACTATCAAATCGGAGAAAAACTTGTTCCCCGCCATCCCGCCGTGACAAAGCAACTGTGAAAAATAAAACGGGGTAGTGGATTAGAAACCAGTGGGCATGCGGAGGGCTCTCGCCAACAGGCTTTCGCTCACACACACACACACCTTGCCGCCCACCCCGACCAGCACGTGCCCCTGCCGCGGTGCCGGGGGGTCGCCCTGGGTGCTGACCGTGCTCCAGTCGCGGCTGACCGGGTCCAGCCTAAACACCGACTGGTCAGCCACGGGGCTGGCCGCCTGACTGCCTCCGCCAAACACCATCAAAGCGCCGGATACGTCTGGAGGAAAAAGAGAAACATTTCCTGGAGTTCAGAAAGTAAAGCTAGAAGTAACGCCTGCAACGCACTGGGTAGGCCGGCCCGGCGGCTGGCTGCCCGAGGGCACGTACCCGCAGTGGTCGTGTGCAGAGTCCGAGGCCCAGGCGCGCCCCCGGAGCAGTTGACGACGCGCCACTCCTCGGCGGCCAGGTCCAGCTCCCAGAGGTCGTTCATGTTGCCCTCCATGTTGGCGCCGGCGAACACCCAGATCTTGTCCGAGAGGTCCTGGGCCTGCGGCGAGGCCGGCGGCAGGAAGGCGCAGTGCTCGTAGCGCTGCGGGGGCTGGAGTCCGGGCTGGTCGGGCTGGTCCGCGGGGGCGTCGGGCCCGGGCTGGAGCAGGGAGAGCGCGAGGCGCCGCAGGTCGAGCTGCCACACGTCGCTGTACAAGGCGCAGGGGGAAGCACCTCCCAGCAGAACCACCTGCACAGCACGGAGTGCACAGCGAGGTGAGGACAGTTGAACAGCCGATTAGCAGAAAACAATGGGCGGACTGATAGGAGGGAGCGCGCAAGCCAAGCAGAAGGATAGAGACAAACTATATGCAACACGAAGGGTTGCCAACCTTTTTGCGCCGGGGCAGGTAGGATGCGGTGTGGCCAACGCGTGGCTCCGGGAAGGCGCCGGCCGCGGGGGCGTCGGGGTCCGCGTCGGCGTCCTCAGAGTCGGCAGCCAGCGAGGTAGGCGTCAGCAGGTACCACTGGTTGGGCCGCGCTCGCCCGGGGGCCAGGGCCCCGGGGCCGACGCCCACCACCTGCTCCACCTGCATCCTGGCGTCGTCGTCAAGGTCCGCCGGTCCGTGTGGCAGAGCCGCACACTGGCCGCTTGCACTTGCACACGGGGAGGCAGTCGTCGATCGGGCCTACGAGGTCGCCGGCGAGCTTCTCAGGAGGACGGCATGGCGCTCACAGCAGCGTGCACACGGTGGAGCCCTTGCTGGGCGCGCGCGCCGCCTGGTAGTGCGCGTGCCGCGCGTGCACGGCCTGCGCGTTGCCGTTGTTGTGCACGAGGCGGGCGCGCCTGTTCCGGCCGAACAGCAGGTAGTTGGAGTCCAGCCCGGGCGCGCGCAGAGCCTGCAACCAACACGAAACGCAAGGATGAGCCAGAGTCCTGCGCCCTCAGTAGACAGTGCGCGCGACTTGAAGCCCCCCCC